AGTGCCCCGGCAAGCAGAACGGCGCAGAAGAAAGAGCAAGCAAGTTTGGAAAAAACAGCTTTAGCCGGTTCAATTGTTGCAAGGCCCAGCTTCAGTGAAGTAGTGGTGGTGCTGGAAGGGGACAAAGCAGCCGGAGTCACAGGAGCAAGTACCCCCAGGTGCAGGACGCTCCGGTTGAAAAGTCACTGAATGTGGTAATCACCGGCAACTTGAATTTAAATCAATGCACAGAGGCAATCAAAGAGAGGGTAAGAGGTGACAAGAGGACTGCAGTAGGGACGTTGTCAGGACGCAATCTGGAAGCAGTCATGAGGCAAGCGGGCTCAAAACTCAAAACTACAGCTGATAGACAAAACCTCGTCATAGTCTCAGGCGGTTTAAACGATGTCTTAAATGAAGATACGGCAGCACTAGCGATCACACTGGCGAAAGGGGTCGATGACATACGCGCCACTTCTCCTCAGGTACAGGTAGTGGTATGCACGATACCGGATGTACCGGTGCGTGACGACAACCTACAAAGAGCGGTTGTCGACGCAAACCGAGAAATATGGCAGATGAGTTGAGAGAAAGGCTTTGAGGTGGTGGAAATAAACAGAGAGGTGCATAGGTGGGGTGGTTTTCAACGAGACAGAATTCACTGCAATGGGCCGCTAGGTCATGAGATGGGTTGGCGACTTGCAGAACGCGCAGTAGCTTTTTGGAGGGCATGGGGGCCCTTCGGGGTGCAGAATAGCTAGTAACGAGGAAAGCAACAAGGGGAACTTTTTGACAGGTGGTATGGGCAGCTACAATTCCAAAGTAGCACCAGTATCCAAGATAGGTATAGTCCGGGGCAGAAATAGACGCTGCCACGAGTGCTGAGCCAATTCAGACAGGGTATATTAACTTGCAGGGTGGCAGGAACAGGCTTAAGTGGGAAGGGATAGAAGAACAGCTAAGGCAGGAGAGGCCGATGGTATACGGTTTTGTAAAAACACATTTTAGGGACATGGAACAACCTCCTAACAATCCGGACTATGCCTAGGAGTATTGTAATAGAACAGAACGCAGCAAAAAGAGAGGTGGTATTGGGGCATTCATCCATAAAAGTACAGACTGGCAAGGGTGAAGCAGGAGTGCAAGGAACATTTATGGCTAAAAGGGAAAGTGGCAGGGCAAATGACACTCCTTGGTTTGGTGTACTTGTGGACGGAAGCAAAGGCCAGAGAGGAAAACCAGACAATGGTAGAGTGTATACCAAAGGACATTGAGGAGTTAGGAGTTGAGCGCGATATAATTATACTAGGAGATATGAATTTGCACATAGAAGATATAGATGGGTATACCGACCCAACAGGGAAAATATCATGGACATGTGTGAAAGGCATGATTTGATCATTTGCAACAGTACCGAGAAGTGGGAAGGGGAGATAACATGGTAGATAGGAAGGCTGCAGTCGACGATAGATTACGCACTGATGTCACATAAGATGTATGATAAGGTCTGGGGAATGCACATAGATGAAGGTGGCTCCAAAAGTCTGGGTAGTGATCACAAACGTACCAAGCTAAGTTTTAGAAGAGCAGCGAGAGTGGGAAGGAGGCTAGATGAGCAACTACAGAAAGTTTTTTATTCAGAAAGGCAAATAAAGATAGCTACTAAACAAATTGAGAAAGTAATCACTGAGGATAAAGAAACAGTGTGGACATACACGAATCTAATTAGACTGTTTGAGCTAGACCTTGCTAAGGCACATGACAAATCACCCCCCAAAAGAAGATACAAACCCATGAGTTGGAGGGATGAGGAAGTTAAGAGAGCCATAGCAAAACGTCAGGAAGCCTCTAGGGAACACAGACATGCAAAGCAGTGGGGTGAACTGACAGATGATGTTGAAAGAAAATGGGAAATCTTCCTAAGCTGTAGAAGGGATGCATTCCTTCTGATCAATGAAAAGATTAGAAGAAAGGGAGCTCAGTGGCTGGCAGAAGTACATAAAAAAGATAGAAAGGCAGCTGCGAAATTTTGGTACCATGTAAACTCGCTAAGAAATGAGACGAGCCTACCGCAGAGGTTTATAACTACAGCTCAAGGTGTTAGGCTAGAAGGGGTCGAAGCTATTGAATATATAGGAACAAGGGTGACAGAAAAAATTCTACAAAAAAGAGCTTCATGCACCACAATAGACAAAGATGAATCAAGTGGCGCAATGGCTCCATTTTCACTACGAGAGTGGGAAAGGGCTGAGAAGAGGGTTCCTAGTAGTACATCAACAGACCCAGATGCAATTACAATTATGCTGATAAAGACATTAGGTCCGAAGTCTAAGCAGGCTTTTAGAGATGCAGTGAGCAAAATATTAGTCAATGGTCAAGTCCCCGATAGAAGAAAACTTAGCAGGATGAGCATGATCTATAAAGAAAAGGGGGACAAAGCTGACATAAACAACTACCATCCTATAACAGTGACATCAGTGGTCTACAGGCTGGTGATGCAGATTATAAAGGAAAGACTGCAGGCATGAACAGAGGATGAGGGGGTGCTGAGGGAACCGCAGAATGGGTTTCAGAAACACAGAAGTTTGGAAGACAATCTGTTATCACTGACGCAGTGCATCGAAATAGCAGAAAAGGAACACAGGCCCCCATGGCTAGCATTTTTGGATATTAAGGGAGCGTACGATAGCGTGGTTCAAGAGGACTTGTGGAGAATACTGGACACACTAGGCGTGGAAGATGGAGACACTAATCTTTTAAGGGATATCTACAAAAGTAACAAGGCAGTTATAAAGTAGAAAAAACAGGTATCCAATCCTGCAGATGTAAAACGGTGGCTTAGGCAGGGGTGTCCTTTGTCACCCTTGTTATTCATGGTGCACCTACAAGGATTAGAGGACAAATTAGAAGGAAGTGGACTGGGCTTCAACCTATATTTCGTCAAACAAGGAAAACTCATTGAACAAGCACTACCAGCATTGATGTACACAGATGATATAGTGATAATGGCCAACAACAAGGAAGATTAGCAGAGATTGATGGACATCTGCGGTAATGAGGGAGATAGGTTAGATTTGTGATTCAGGAAAAAAAAATCTTCAGTCATGCTTTTCAACGACAATGAAAGAAGTGAGCTTTGAACACAGGAGGTCACGCTAGAGAAAACAGACAAATACATATACCTGGGCCTATGGATAAGCGATGGGGCCGAGTACCTAAGAGAACACGAAATATACGTGATGACTAAAGGTAACAGGAATGCTGCGGTGATGAAAAACAGGGCACTGTGGAACTACAACCAGTATGATGTCGTGAGAGGAATATGGAAAGGGGTCATGGTTCCTGGCCTGACGTTCGGCTATGAGGCCTTGTGCATGAGATCAGAAGTTCAAGCAAGAATAGAGATTGAGCAACGTGGAATAGGTAGGCTTGCCTTAGGAGCTCACGGAAATACACCAAATCACGAAGTACAAGGTTATATGGGATGGACATCATTTGAGGGCAGGGAAGCTAGCAGCAAGATAAAATTTGAGAATAGATTGAGAGAAATGAGGGAGGAGCGTTGGGCTAGGAAGATATTCAGCTACTTCTACATGAAGAATGACGATACAAAATAGAGGAAGCGAACCAGAAAATTGACTGGTAAATACTTAGAAAAGAGCAGGGGGCCAAACCAAAAGAATTATCGGTCAAGAAGAAGGTGAAGGAAGCTGAGACCGTGATGTGGAGAATTGATGTGATTACGAAGTCTGCACTAGAAATTTATCAAACTTTTAAGCAGGAAATTGCCAAGAAAAGGATCAATGATAATAATCAGGGTAGTTCTGTACTGTTGGAGGCCAGGACGGGAGTATTGCAAACCAAGACATACCAGACCAAATACGAAGGGGTAGACACAGTATTCCGCGTGTGTTTAGAGGAAGAGGTACCTGCCGAACACTTGACAATGTTGTGTAAAGGGCTTCACCCTATAGTTCCGGATGATGGCGCAGAGTATTTCAAATCACTGGGGTTTAGGCACAGGGAGGGCAAAATAGACTTTAAGCGGGTATAATTAACAAAAAGGGGGTTATGTGATTGGTGGCCAAAGTAAATGCACGAGTGAAAATAAACTTTTCACTGCAAAGTATGAGTCCTCAACATCACTATTCAAAGGAAAGAAAATAAGTCTAGTTTTTGGTTCACTAAGTATAACAGCTTGGTGGCGTTAGCCACCGCCCGTTCTAAAGGGTACAGCCATATCAATCCATCCATCCATCCATCTCTCAAAACTGGATATGCTCGTTCACGTACTATGCAGATGGCACGCGGGTAACACCAACGATACGTAAGCCAAGGAAGCCGAGTGCAAGCGTCTTCAACGTCCCTGTGGTTCTGCTCCGTCCATGCTATACCAACGATCCACCACGTACGGTGACTGAGATTCAGGTGACTGAGAGAGGCACTCGTTGACAAAGCGCGCGCAGCAGCCAATCGGAGCGTAGCGGCACTTCTGAGAGTAGCGGCGGAGTAATTCCATCTAGGGAATGAGACGAGAAATGGCCATCCACTTCTTTTTCATCCTTTTCTTTGTCGTCTCTTCTGTACTCGGTTACGTGTGAATTCTGACAAGGTTAGACTATAAGGAGCTTGGCCTCTAATACAGAGAGACAAAAAGACACGCAATAACTGAGAGAACACAAAAATGAAAGAAGTAGAGGTTAAAAAAACTAAGAATCTCAAAACCCCAACAAGAGCAATCAGGACTGCTGAGCTGCCCATAAGCTCCACTGCCTCTTTAGAATGGCGCCTCTACTGGAAGTTACGCTAACTTGTTTTGGTTATTATTACCAAAAACAATAAACGAACGAAGCCCATAATGAATGCCTGAGTGAATTTCAAAACGACCGTATGCGTAAGTGCATAATCAGTGTCAATCAGAGCGAACCAAGGATGCGAAAATGAGTGCATGAACACGAGGTGTTCATGGTAGTATACGTGAGGATGGGAGTGGGCAAGTAAAACGAGTGAGCAAGCCAGGGTGGTGCTTCCGTACGACCGGCTGTATTTCTCTCAGTTTCTAGGCGTACAGGCATAGATTGGTTTCGAAAAAAAGTTACTTTTAGATTCAGTTCCGAAAGCAAACACAGTTTTCTCTGAATCTTCCGGTGCAGTATCCTCCTTTCTGGGCCTTCTTTTCCTTGCAGTACTTTGAGCATTCGTTGGAGCCAAATGGGCAGCCAAAGCTTTTACCTGCGTAAGTAGGAGTTCAAAAACACGTTGAGAAGAGATGTGAAAATTAGGTAATTTCTGTTTTCAAGCAACACATTTAAGAGCACGCACACGCACCAGTACAGTAAATCGGTTGTCTTTAAACGATGGCAACGCGCATTAAGCAACGAGACTAGGAGGCTTGAATTGCAGTCTAACACAGCAAAGTATTTAGCATCATTCTTTGCCATAGAGTCATGAAAGCAATTTATTGCTGTCAATTAATAGTAAGCAATCTCTGGAATTCCCTATATCAGGTATGGACGCCGCTGAGTTATACAAAACAAATGGGATAAGTCTTGTGAATAGAAGTTTCTTCATACTTTGCCGCAGAAGTAGCTAGTGTTTTCACCTTCATCGATGGGCCGACTGTTCACGTAATTCCAGGTAAAAAAGCATTGGTGACACCACGCAAAAAACACACACATATGTTCAATTTCGTCTTCAGATAAACGATCAGCATGAATTGACGCTCGAACAGGACTTGACCCTACAGAACGATTCTTGCAAATAATTGCGTGTGAGTGTGAGGTATATTTTCTCTTCGTGCTGGTTTATAAGCGGAAAGTTCCACACCTATACACCTCAGATTCTGCATCAAGCTACTCATCTTGCAGATGCCCCAGAAAGCTGAACAACACATCGGAGTAGTTTCGGTTCTGTTCCTTCCGCAACTCATGCACGTTGCCTAGGATTTAGCTGACGCTCAAGAGAGTAGTAAGCTGAGATGTCATAAAAACGTGTTTGCCGTACCTGGATGACGTCAAATAAAGTAGAGAAAGGATCAGAATCTGAGAAGGGAGTCATGAATGAAGGACAAGTGATGAAGCCATGTTCATGATTCTGCAAACTGATCCCGTTGTAACGTAATGGTTTCCGACAATGTCGCGTATGAACTATTTAACTCTTTATTCGCAGGCATTGACTACTAGATGAACTTTGTAAATGAGTCAGAGGCAGTATTTAGTCTGTTTGGAAGACCTTTATTGCTATATACATGTGAAAATCCACACGGTAAAAATCTGTAGCATCTCATTATTGCACAGGTGTTTCTGCTTCAAAAGTGGTTTGACATGTTTTTATTGGAATAATCAATCTATTCCACAATATGACCCAATGCTCATCAGTACAAGATATTTTGTTGTGCCGATAAGTCGCCTTAGTGGCTGACGGCGACACTTTAGGCTCTAAAAATAATGTTCTTCTCCCTCAGCAAGACTGTACATGGAAAAAAAGTGAATATGCGGGTGATGTTTAGTGTGCACTAGTTTTCAAGGGAAGACGGGTTTCCTAAATTTACGCTTTTATAACGAAAAATAAACACCATAAATTAATGTAAAATGAAGAACACGACAAGGAATGCAATAAAACTCATCGTTCAATAAGTTGTGCCATCATTTTCACCTCAGCGAGTTTCTCCTATCCAAAGAAGCCTGGGATTTTCTCAAGGTATTGTACTAGAAATCGCAGGCTCGGCAGCATATGCACCTCAAGTTACTGACGAGCTTATTCTGTATGGCGCGCGTTCATTTGAACTGAGCCTCATTGTGAACTCGACAAGGGAGCTTCACGCTGGGATGACTAACCAAGAACGAAAAAGAAGCAGCAATTCAAATGCAGCTGGGAATAGAAATAATCATTCGTGGGACCACCTTTATTCAAAGGGCATGTAAAGTAAAAACTGATTGCCGTAATTAGCCTTTGGTGAGAACTAAAACGCTAATTATGGCCCTATATACTGCCGCATGCAGCCAGGTATAACATACACACCGACAGCAATGATATGCATTTACGGAGACGTCAATATGCGTACATATGACAACCGTCATTGTAGAAGCTGGATACGTCTTTAAGAAGGAACAGCGCTAAAAACAGCGCTGGAGGGTCACAATGGTTCCTTAAGAAAGTTCCTAAATTTTTTGAAGACAATATTTTTTCTTGGGGAATTTTGACGCAAAAATTTTGGTCTGTCTGTGTCTGTCTGTCTGTCTGTACATTTGTCTGTTTATCCACTCTCAACAGAATTGGGTACTTGAAATGGCCGACCCCATCCGCAGCGCCCACCAATGTTGCTCAAGATTTAGCGTTCATACTTGTGCAATTGTCAATTGATAAGCAATTATTGCGCAAGTCTGGGGCACCATAACAACACGTATATATTCTGCATGTGCATCTTTTACTAGAAAAGGCATACATATGTAATTTGAAGGACCGTAGCACTTATCGCGCTGCGCTGACCATGCAACGCTTGCACGAAAAGGTGAGTGTTTCCAACTCATTGCTAAGACACGATGGCAGTGGCACCTACCCGTCGCCTTGCGTTCCACACCTTATCACATTTCAGACGGGCGCGCACACCCATCTCAGAGCCACTTGCTTCGTTTTGCAAGAACACTGTCAGGTTGTGCTCATGTCTCACGTGTGACGTGACGTGATTCGCTTGTTCGCCTCCGATGCACGCTCGAGGCACTCTAACGCAGCGCCTCCAAAATTCCATTCTCCGATTTTCTTGCGCAAAACATCACATAATTTGTTCGCTCTCTCCACACGCAAGACTATCGTCTTTCGACGACATTTGCAGATTACATGCAGATACGGGGCCCATTTTTGCTTCCGTTATGTTTTTTTTATGACGCCACCCTGAAGAAGGAGTTACATAAGTAGCGATCGAAGCTCGCTTTCAGAGAATGGAGCAGAGTAGAGTTGCGGGTGGTTATTTTTGCTCGAATGGCAGACGTAAGCGTGTTTTAGATGCTCCATGAGAGAGAAAAAAAAGTTTTGCTACAGCATCCACCAGGGCTGGCTGTGTAAATATATAAGGCTGGTTTTTAAAAACCCTCTTCTCCTCTGTGAGCACCATGCCTGTTGTGATTGCGTACTGTTGGTTCTGCGAATCTTCTTGCAATAACTAAAGTTAGGGCAGGAAAAAAGGTCATTTGAAAAAAAAAAGTGCTGCTGCTGCTGATGATGATAATGATGATAATAATCATCATCATCCGGAGTAGAAACCTGAAGGCTTACAAAGAGGGTTCAGTTTAAATTAGGACGACGCAGCGAGCAATAGAAAGGAAAATGGTTGGGGTGAACTCCAGAGACAAGTAAAGACCATAGTGGATCAGGAAACAAAGCGGGGTCACCCCGCCGCGGTGGTATAGTGGCTAAGGTACTCGGCTACTGACCTGCAGGTCGCGGGATCGAATCCAGGCTTCGATGGATCGAATCCATTTTTTGATGGGGACGGAAATGCTGTAGGCCCGTGTGCTCAGGTTTGGGTGTACGTTAAACAACCTCACGTGGTCGAAATTTATGGAGCCATCCACTACGGCGTTTTTCATAATCATATTGTGGTTATGGGACGTTAAACACCGCATATCAATCAATCAATCAATCAATCAACAAACCGGGGTTAAGGATATAATAGCTGAAATCAAGAAGAGGAAATGTACATGGGCCGGGCATGTAGCACGTAGACTGGATAACCACTAGTCATTAATGGTTACTGATTCAATTCCTAGAGAAGAGAAGTAGGTGAGGAGGAAAATGATAGTTAGGTGGACAGATGAGATTTGGAAGTTTGCGGGTATAATGTGGCAGCAGCAAGCACAGAGCCGAGTTAATTGGTGAGATATGAGAGAGACATTTGTCCTGCAGTGGACGTAGTCGGGCTGACCATGATGGTCATCACAGCATGCGGATGCAAATCATTATTTCTTAAGACAAATATTCCAGGTAAATATGCAAACGACATGGCTCTGGTGGCTTTGGAAGATTTTCGTATTCGCAAACATTAACACATCTGTCCTAACGAGGCATCTACTTATATGCAGCGTGCCGAACTGATTTTTTTCTACTCTAATAAGGAAACAAAACTTTCAAACAGCTGATTGAGCGAAAGAGTCGAAATATGTGACTGTCAAACGGCGCCCGATTTTCCACTGGCAGCGACACGACCTGGTGATGCGTGCACTACTACAAAGCTGAGTGGAAGAAAGGAAACACTTGCTGGGTCACCTGGTGAGGCGCAGGGGTGGGGGGAAGGGGCATCGCGCCACGTCACTCTCGGAGGCCTATGCTACGCGCGTGTTCCTTGTTCTCGTGATTCTCGCTAGCAGCCCGGCACGCACACAACATTGTTTGTTCAATTTGGTTCATTTCCTAATAGGTTTATTTATAAGCTACATGAACCTACTTCATGAGTGGTTAAGTATTTTTATAAGCCTCTCGCTGAGTCACAATGTGCTGATAAGTGACCATGAAACGAAACTGTTTCGGAACTAGCGTCATGAAAAACTGATGGGAAAGAGAAGTGAGGGTGAGGACGAGAGCTACCCCATCTTTGCAGTTTTCTCAATATTCTCACAAAGACAGCGCGTCTTCTCACAAAGACAGCAGCCATGCAAGTATTGCGGGGCAGAAACGTAAATTTAAGGCACACGAAAAAACACGGACAGAGAAAGACGTCACACAAACAGTCGCTATTCAGCGGCAGTGTGTGTAACGCCCTTTGATGACCCTATTTTTTCGTCTGGTAAAAAGCTACAGGAGGACATACCAACACGTCAATTAGAATAAGTTACAAAAAACGTAGAATATCACTAGATGTTGATTTAAGTGAACTATGCAGCAAGCGGCTCCTACAAAGCTGCCAGTTCATTAGAAATAGATCAGCCTTTTTATAGTTATCATCACTCACAGATTGAAGAAAGTTCGCGGCTTAGTGGGGGCACATATTTGCTTTCTAGCAGACGCACAGAAGGCACTTTGCAAAAGCACTTGTAGCAGCCGCCCATAGAGAATTCACAACGGGCTTTGAGAAGGTTGTTCCCACAACATAGGATGTGGTTCGCAGCTGTTCCGCGCGATCCTAGAGTTTACAACGAAGTATGCTAAAAGAATTCACTCCCTGGTTTGTGCGAAAACGCATGGCGCTTGAATGTGCCGGAAATATTTGTCAGACCCTACTAATCACCACTAATCCAAACAAAGCAGGCAACACATGAAAGAAAAAGACAATATAAAGAGGCCCTGCAGCACTTTTTTATGTAATAATTGAATGGCTTCATTACATGAGTTTATGGCTTCGCAAATCAACTGCCGCACTGAGATTCAGAATCCGTTACGTAAAAAATTGGACCCGAATCTGCGCATTACACTGCAAAAGTCGTCGAAATACGATGGTCTTGCGTCTGAAGAGAGTGAACAAAACGTTTATTTGATGTTCTGCGCAAGAAAATTGGTGAATGGTATTCTGAAGGCGCTGCGTTATAATGCCTCGAGCGTCTAGCGGAGGCAAATGAGCGCATCAAGGCACGTTAGACACGAGCGCTACCTGGCAAATACCTTTGAAAACGAAGGCATGCAGCCCACGGAGAAGGATGCGCGCCAGTCCCGGAGGTGGTAAGGTGTAGAACGCAAAGCGACGGGCAGGTGCCACCCCCGTGTCGTCGTAGCAAAGCGCTGGAAACACCGTTTTGAGCATCGCATTCCACTGTCAGCGCACCACGATAAACGCTGCAGTTACTTATGTGTGCCTGTTCTAGTATAAAGGCAGACATACAAAACATTAACGTGTTGTTATGGCGCCTCATATATGCGCAACAATTGATTTTTAATTGACAATCGCACAACTACGAACACTAAATCTTGAGCAATATTGGTGGGTGCTGCGGATGGTGTCAGCCGTTTGGTGCCATTTGAGGTATCGTTAACGCCGGACAAACAGACAAATGTACAGAAACACAGACAGACAAAAATGTTTTTGTCGAAGGTCCCCAAGACAGACTGTCTTCTTTAAAAGGAGCTACAGGGATTTGCTGCACGCTTCAAGAGCTGTCCCTCTCTTGTGATACCAATGAACACGATGAAAAATACGCAGTCGAGGGGTATGACATGCGGCAAGATGCCCTGCTCGTTCGTCAGCGCGTGTCATGACCTTCACTACTTTTTTTTGGACACGTGGCTTACTTTCAGTGTGATCGCAAGCGCGTGCAAGAGCACATGGCTGAATAGCGCGATAAGTATGCAGCTTAGGATGCTCAAATCAGCCAATGGGCATTGACTTCAGCTCTATGGCGTGGTCGTTAAGGTTTATGGCATCATTTGATGATATGTGGGGTTTAACGTCCCAAAACCACTATATAATTATGAGAGACGCCGTAGTGAAGGGCTCCGGAAATTAAGACCACCTGGGGTTCTTTAACGTGCACCCAAATCTGAGCACACGGGCCTATGGCATCATTTGGTGAGAAAAGATAGAGTGATTTCTTGCTAACCTTCAAGAATATATAAAACTTTCAGGACGCGTGCTAGTCGACAATAATTAGCTGGCGTGTTTTCAGAAGCCTCGACTATCAATCAGCAGCCTTTTTTGACCGTGCTGCAGAAGTGTTGCAGGATTCCTTCAACATCATGCCCGACACGCCAAGTGCATGGGACAAACCAGAAAAGACAACGTATTTTTCGGCAAACATGGCTGATGCTTCTCGATTCAAAAACATTAAAGGGAAGTACATCTAATTCCGAATTAATTCTAGACTAGCATTTTGGATTGAGCTGCAGCGCATGTAATTAGGTGAGGTTCAAACATCTCTGTCACTGGTGTGCTGTGTGATAAATAATTTCGCTGGTTATCTATTTCCAAAAAATATCTTTGCTGGTTATCCACCAACAACGCGGCCGACACCTACCCTGCTTGCCATACAAGTTCATAACGCAATCTCGCAAAGCATTTTGGAAGCTTATTTTTACCGTTCTCAGCTTGATAAAACTATCAATCTCATGTGGACTCACATTCTTTGGGCCATGGTATATGAGCATGTTTCACACGTAACTCAAGGAAAGGGTTTCATGAAGTACGCGACAAGTATTTCGCCCGTTTTATGTCATGCCCTGTTCATCCTGTTCGCAATAGACAAATGCCCTTGCATGCAAGTTTTGGTTTGTGTGTGTGTGTGTGTGTGTGAGAGAGAGAGAGAGAGAGAGAGTAAAGTAAGGGAAACGACTACGATGTTACCCGAACGGAGGTGGCTACAGATACATACGTAGATATAAGCGAGCAAAATGGAGAAAACAAAGAAAAAGTGGTCAAGCCAGAGACTTTCAGTGAGACGCTATCAATGACATATCATGAGTCAAGAAAGAGTGTCTGATATTTGGGTACGTCGAAGTTCGCGTGGCTTTCCATATAATCTGACACGTTTGTAACGTTTATCAGATGCGCGAGCAAAACTCACATTACGAAAAGTGGTGAAACGACAGCTTGGAGCTAGGCTATAGTGGGCGACACGTTGTAGATAAATAATACGTCATAACAGCGAAGCAAAGCGCTGAAGCGAGAATGGTAGCACTTCAAGTAGCAACTGGTTGCTCCGAGTGTGAATGTCAAGGAGCGCGATCTGAAACGAGAGAAAGTTGTATACTAAAGACCGACATTAGAAACTAGTGAGGGGTTTGTGTTAGCATAATTTCAAAGATCGGAAGGAAAGTTCCATTGAGCATGTCACAAATTGTGTAATAATGGGACATTCTACTTACTTTACGGAATTGTGTGGTACTTGGGGCTAGTACTGTGTGAAAAAGATTCATAAGTTTTCACTGCACATCACGAATTACCAATTTAATGTTGTCTTTTTCAAAATTAAGATCAACAAACCCCTTTAGTTCCATCGGTCGGACTGCGTACATTTCTTACTTTGTACCTTACCCGTTGTTAAAATCCGTCTCGCACGGTGCTCTAGATAAAATGGTCAATCTCAGGCGTTATTCCTTACACAGTCAAGTGTACTCCAAGTGAAAGGAAAGGTAATAAATAAAATATGACACTCACGGACAACCATGAAAGCGCGGGAACAGATTGGGGAACTTTTGGCATCGAAAGGCCACACGTATCTGCGAAAAACAACAGTAGCACGAGTAATGTCACTTTATCGCATTGTAATAATAATAATAATAATAATAATAATAATAATAATAATAATAATAATAATAATAATAATAATAATAATAATAATAATAATAATAATAATAATAATATAATAATAATAATAATAATAATAATAATAATAATAATAATAATTAATAATAATAATAATAATAATAATAATAATAATAATAATAACAATAATAATAATGCAACAGTTATTTGCCATGCCTGGGACTAACGATACAGTTCTTGTGCAGGCGCACGCAAAAATAAACAATACAGTGCCGACATTCTTCAGAAAAATAAATCAAATAAAATAGCGAAATGTCTAGAAAGGAGTACAAAATGGGAACAATAAAAAGACAAGCCGAGAATTATTCATTGGGAGTGAAAAATAAAGAGGGGTGTACTAAACTATGTGGAAGGCTTCCTGAAAGAAGGAAAAGGGAACAATCTGTACATTTGGACAAAAGAAACTATCGGAAAACTTGGCAAAGATGAGATAAAAAATGCAAGTGGACTGCGAAAAAGATCTAGATCATGAAAGTTAAAATTATGTAGACTTTTTATTCCGTGAGCAGCAGAGTGTTGAAAGAAGTTGGCAGCTACTTAAGACGGTCGATTTTCTCTGAATAATGTACGCAGAATTTTAAAATTTACAAAGTAAAAAGTAAAGGTCAAGATATTATACCATGAACTAGTTTGTAATGAAACAAAAGGTCAGCACAATTTCGTCATCAGTGAAGTGATGGCAACGATAATAATCTGGCAGTGTTAAAAGAAGATCCAGAGTCATTTCTATCAAAACGATGGTTGTGACTGCTTAAAAATTTTTTTCAGAACTCACTCAATGGCGTCACTGTCAGACATAGAAATGCCACTACAGATCACTGATACATACTCAAGCCGAGGAAGACATACTGAGGTGTGCAATTTGTGAAAGGTTGGGAGATTTGAATTATCAAGATATTCTGCAACTACAGCTGAGATAACGAAGATCTGCCACACCAGCACGTTCAGTTTGAGCAGAAAAATTTAGCATGCTATCAAGAAGAGCACCAAAATTACAGAACTCATAAACTTTACATAACAACATTATATTGACAGAGTATTGAAATGACACAATGGATGTTTTGCGAGATTCGCTCATGATCTTGGTCGTTGAGGTATTTAGAGAAAAGTTGTGTTTGGAGAGAGAACACAAATCTTACTTCAGCAAGCGACAGTCATTAACTGAATGAATTTTCTCAAATATATTATTGACATCAGCATAGAAGAGAAAAGAAGAATAACGAGTTCCAAATTTAAACATCATTACTGTAAGTTAAAATTTAGAGGGGGCTCATTACCGACCTCTGCGGGACCCCGTTTTTCTCCATGTACAAAAAGGATGTTTGTCCATTTCCGGCAAACTAACATGATCTATAAAGCAGATAGCTGTGTAGCAAATTCACAAGAGACATGTTAACACCAAAGTTTACAAAAAATCAGTGAATAGCTGAATACGTCAAAAGCCTTGCTGCGGTCGCAGTGGACTACACGACCCTGTCTTCTCTGAGAAATAGGGGGAGAGATTTGCGTCATAAAACAAGCAAGATTTATGGTAGTTGAGTGTTCGGCGAGAAACCGGTGTTGATAATGTATCAATGACTTTTATAATGATAACATTAGTAATATTATTCATATTTTATTTACTTTATAATATTATCAAAATAATAAACATGGTTGATCTCTCCAGCATAGGAAATATTCACAGCTTTGCAGCAAACGTCAAGCAATGAACGTGATAGCAACAAATGGCAAGGTTACGCGCCAAATGGCAAGTAGATCGAAACGTTCTCCGCGTTTCTCACGCACAAATTACGCACGAAATGTACTCGCAGGTACAGATGAACGCGAATAAGCGTCTCAGTTGTTACTTCGCTGTGTCCGAAAGGTCCGTTCTTTTCGCAAACGTAGACTGTGCAACGATTGCAGGGACATTTGTGCACCCGTTACTACAACAGAATCATTTGTGTGGAAATCCAAGCCCAGCCAAGACGTACGATCCTCCCCCCCCGCAATATAAGGGCGCGTGAATGAGCGTCCACACCCGAATCTCCACGGGGCGAAGTACGCGTGGGAAATGAAAGCACCCACCGCCGCATCGCAACGATGTGGCGACGCACGCTCATTGCACCACATTTCTGGTAATGCTTAAAGCACGATAGTTCCCCCCTAGACGCCCGTCACCAGCGGTAAGGGGTAAATATAAGTAGCTTGCGGCTTGAACGTTCAACGTTGATTTGATTTGTGGGGTTTAACGTCCCAAAACCACCATATGATTATGAGAGACGCCGTAGTGGAGGGCTCCGGAAATTTTGACCACCTGGGGTTCTTTAACATGCACCCAAATCTGAGCACACGGGCCTACGACATTTCCGCCCCCATCGGAAATGCAGCCACCGCAGCCGGGATTTGAACCCGCGACCTGTGGGTCAGCAGCCGAGTACCTTAGCCACCGCGGCGGGGCGAACGTTCAACGTCATGTACTCTTTAAATCAATGGTTAACGCCTGGCACTCACGTTTCAGAGGTCCCGCTTTCGATTCCGTGCGCCAGCCTTTTGCTGAATTATTTTTCTGGCATGCGTTTTCACACACACACACACACACACACACACACACACACACACACACACACACACACACACACACACACACACACACACACACACACACACACACACGCGCACGCACACGCACACGCACACGAGCTTTTTTTTCTTCCTCGTGTGTCCTTCAATCGCGTATTTCTGTTTCGGAAATGTGGCAGTGCAGCTTTGCTTGCATTTTTATGTAAAAAAGTGTGTGCTTAGTGCTCCTTCTTGCAATCTTGAATCCCAGATTAGCGTTTATGTTGGTGTGAGATTCGACCATTTCGAGAATGTGTTGTGTGTGTGCTTGAGGTTGTCAGTATGGTGTTACCAATTATTCTGCTCCAGTTACTCCAGTTATCGCAGATATCCAGGTTAACGTTAAGTAGCCGTTTCACCAATGAATTGTTGTATTGTCTTTTATCGCGAACAGTTAACAGGAAACAGAGTCGGAGCGTAAATACCGGGCAAACGCGAGTTATCTCAGAATTGTTTTCTTCTCATGACACAAAAAGATTAATTATCTTCATGTCACGTTTCGTGTATATGAACGAAAGTGTTAGATAATATTTACACATTACTGAGAGAATAGCAACTTTTCAGTAAACTAATATAATGAATAACAAAACAAAATACCTTTTTGAATGGTCATACAAGCCTTCAGTAGAAACAACTGGATTATACCATGTGTTAAAGGAGCGAACTTTTAAAAGATACTGTTGAACGTGTTGTTTAACGAAGTAGTTAGCTGGGTGAGGGAAAACATACAAACCAGGGTTAAGAGCAAAAAAGAAAAGGCAATGAGGACATAGCGGTTGTCTTTAGAGTGACAAATTATGATACTAAATGTATTAAAATCGAAAAAAAACGATTTCAGCTTACCAGTGCAACGCAGTCGAGCATTACTTACGGAGATCAATTATTATATAAGCAAATATAGTTCGTGGAAACCAGCAAAAGGAGCCATCGCCAGTGATTCAACATCTGTGTGGCCATGTCGTAAATCACCACAAAATGATACACTAGATGTCATAACCCATTGGTGCACTTGCGAACATATTGCAAGGGAACTCTGAACAGGTACGGTCAGGCTTTACAACAGTGCTATCTCACTGGTAAATAAACAGTGGATCTTCAGAGAGGCAGCGTAATCATTCTATACCTGTTGTGGTTTTGAGCTACGATATTGTAATACAATTATGAGAACGTCATACTCTGACCTGTTGGCTCAACGGATCTTGGTTGAGCGAGCCAGGGCCGCTGCCGATGGCAATGGGATCCCGTTAGAGAGAGCCCACATGTTTTTTGTATGGAGTGGCCCCTTAAGGCCCGCTGTACACTTTCCCTTTACTTAACTTCCACGAATAAATGTTTTTGACCACCACACCCACCCATCATATTCTGACTACGCCAGTGGTCCCAAATACTAGAAACAAACACTAGAATATTGAGACCTGTTGTCTCACCAGAAATCATTAGGAGTGTTATGGTGAAGATGATCATCTTCATGCTTGCCGGCCAACACGGGTGTCGAGACAAGAATTGCAGGTAGAGGAGTATCGCCTGGAACGAAAACAGCAATGAAAAATTGCACTGTTTTACCTGCTCGTAACGGATAACCCAGATTGGACGTGCATGATGTGTAAGCTCCAGTCATGAGTTCAAAGTAGCAGTTTCAATGAAACATTTACTTTGGTAGTCACCTCAGCAAAAACAAAATAAAAAATATTGCCATATTCATATGGCAAGTTACTACGCAGTAAATGCAGAAATTATGGTGATAGACAAACAACGCTGCTCGCGGTTTCGTCTCCATCAAGCAGAATATGACAGAGACAATCAACTGAAAATGTTTTCATGTGATATATTCGACGTGATTAGTGTCGCATCAACCACGATTGACGCTTTCTTTTCCCAATATCAAAAAGGAAAAGATTAAAACTATGGGGCATGCTGTAGTCGGAAGCTATTCATCTAGTTTTAAAACCTGGAGTTAATAAGTGTGTATAAAAACCTTGGTGCCCTAATATTTTTTAACATTTCAAGCTGAGTAGATGTGCCGGCTGTAGTTGGTGTGAAACCCATATCTTCAATTTTAGTAGCACAACATAGTAAGGTGTTGCCAAGGTGTTTTCAGTCTGATTGCAAAATTCGAACTACGGTAGTGAAGGTAAAACGTTCAAATAGACGCTAGTTCCTTCCACATAAATAGCTGCTGAAATGTTTGTCCTAAGCAACTACTATTCCCACACAAACGTTACCTTTGTTTTACGCGCTCTAAACTTTTTGAGAAACACATAGTGCAGCTTTAGTAAATGAAAAAAAAACGGAGTTTCATGCTCGAGGAAACCATAGAAAATAAAGAGAGACTGTCGATGTGAATGAAAGTAGATGTATTTTGAGGGTGGTCGCATTGAATTGTGAAGATATATATACTTATACGTAGAAACGCTTCATATTGATGACGCTCACTTAACGAAGCCTGTTTGAGAAATTTCAGCTTGCTCATGAAGTACTGATCAGAGTTCACATTACTATCACAATCTTGCGCCACTGCTCCCTTATCATTTACTGAAACGTGCTGCATTTACCGTTCAGCATATGCTCAAAAACAACGTTTGCTGTTCGCGAATGCCTCGTGGAACGATGCACCAAACGCATGAAAGATACAGTTATAAGGCAGAATTCTAGGTTCCTAAAGTAAGGTAAAAGGTAGGTTTATAAGGTAAGGTAAAGCTATAGATTTATAAGATGAAAAAAAATTGCTAGAAGGCATGTTAGCAACAACGGAGATAAATGACAGCAAAGTCTCACGTATCACCGAGCAGACGTGGGCGACGACCTGATGACTGCGCTCTCTGGTCTCTTGCACTCGCAGGTTATGTTGGCAGAATTTGCATGCACACGTAGACTTCGCGTTCGTTGAAAAAATAAGTTGGCATAAGGGCGGTGCCGCCTATTCAAACGGTCTGTCGCTAAGACGTGCCCGTCAAGAGCACAATACACTCCTCAAACTGCCGCCTGGACGCATTGAGAGATCTGAAAGCAAGTACAAGGGGCTGACGTCGACAAGCCAGAATGACGGCGGCGTTCGAGCATCAGTGCCGCGGTCCTCATAGCTTGGTCACGACGATGTGTCGCTAAGGCCGAAGACATCAATTGAAAGGAAGTCGCGGAAACATATTGTGAAGTCCTCGGCCGGGTGGTGTTCAAATTGCGGCGATTATGCTGCTAGAGTGAAGCGTTTGGGAGGTGCTAAACATGCGAAAAAAATGTGGTACATAAACGCTGCGCCTCACGAGAACGGATTGAGACCATCAACGCCAATGACGGGTCGTGTTGGTGGTGAAAAGTTTGTTAAGCATTTTCTACTGAAATAGACGAAGCTACAAGGACGCACTTTTTCTATGAAAAAACCGCAGAAGAGTCTTTGAGCACGTGTGCGAGACAAGAATGAATTATGGTTGCTCCGTCCTGATTTGCACTCTACAAATTTAGTCACGCAGGATATTGTCAGAGAAGGCGCTGCGGGAAAACAGCGTCTGAATTTATCTTCGTGTGCAAGTGTTCCTTTCTCAACATGTCGTTATGCAAGAAGGAAATCCGGCGGAGAACCCTCATCAAATGAATATCCTATGCGTGACCACGTAAAAATTGGGCTTACCACAGCTCATATTGCTTGGGTACAGATATATCTTAAGACATTACAAGCAACATGAAATTGCCGCATGATGAGACGCCCAACAGATACCGTTTCAATTCACTTTGCTATTGCAGTTTGTTATTGTGTTTTGTTGCACCTTGTTCAAAACTCTTTCGTATAACTGACTCATTTAGAATTCCCCACGTCCATATTCTCTATTCAATATGAAGGATTCGACATGTACTCCATATAGATGCACCATCGCACGTCCGTTTCGTCCTTACCTGCAATTCACTCATTTTGTGAAAGATGAAGGAAATATTTGTATCTGCAAATTTTCATCTACATTCTGGTATAGCGTCTATATCCATTTTGTTGGGCGGAAAAAAAGAGATGGAATATATGCGATGTATTTTCCTAGAGCCAACACATCACAGGACAGAACCACGAAGTTTTGTTTTGTAAATATTTCCTACCATTGGTATAGCGCCTTTGCTAATGCTATGTGGAGCATTAGGGCTGACTTTGCTTTTCTTTCAGCGACAAATGTAGCCTAAATGCTGCTTATAGTATGATTTATAGGCTATAGAGCTATTCGAGAAGGGTGGTTTGTTTGGCTAGCTGGCAATGCATGTTCAAAAAGGTGAACCAAAGCAATAAGACAAAAAAAAACAGGAAAGAACTCTGTGTCTTTCTCCCCCTTCTTTTACTTGTTTAGCACAATACTTTTGAAGAAATATTTGTCATTCAAAATGTACCAATGTAAAGGAAAATAGAGGAGCGGTGATCATAGTTTTACACCTGACTTCTGCTACACTCTAAAAAAATATCGAGTAAAACGGGTGTCTTTTTGTCCCACAACAATAATCATCATCAGGTTTGCGTGCGCTTCCTCTCCTGAAAACACGGCGCTGGCCACTTTTCTACCGAGAATGCAATGTAACCCTGATAATGGGCGTGTCGATTGTGACCGGTATGTACCGGGTGCGGGGCGATAGCGCGAGAATGGAACGCAATATAGATGGCGATTATTGTTGTGGGACAAAAAGACACCCTTTTTACTCGCTCTTTTTTAGAATGTAAGCAGCCCCAAGGTCATTACCAGGCGCATTCAGAATACTGTACACTCTTCATCACAAGTGAATTGAGGGAGAGTGCATTGAACTCCGCTCACGGAGACATCACGCCCTGTGCAAAAAATAGAAGACTCCTGCAGCCGCATGGGAAATAGCAGGTGCGTGAACGACAGATAAGACTTAGCTGCGTCAGGCATCACTCTGTTTCATAAATTTCAAATGTAGCCGGCTGAGTACAGTGACATTTTATATTCGGAAGACATGTAAGCTATTCAGTCAGGTTAGAGAGCACAGTTAAGAGTTCACACTGAGTAGAAATCGGTGCTGCACCAGAATTCCATCCCCTAGAACAATCAGAAATCACCTAAAAACATCAAAATCTTGCAAGAACGCCAGCATAATATGAATTTAAAAAAGAAAACGTCAACTACTTGAAACGTTATGGGCCGATCAACTTGCTGTGTATTCTCTACAAAGTATTCATAAAGTAGTAGGTAATAGATTAAGCCAACATTAGGGTTGAATCAACGAAAGGACTATGCAGGATTTTGTACAGGATGCTTCACAATAGATCATATTCATACTATCAATCAGATGATAGATTACTGCTAGGAATACAACCGATTCCGATACACATTCGTCATTGTTCACGAGAAGGCATTTGACCTACTCGAGACATCAGCAGCGACGCAGGCACTAGGGAAACAGGGCATCAACAAACCCTACATATTTATACGAGAAGAAATCTACAGCGTATCCGCAGCCATCATACTTCTAGATAAAGAAAGCGGCTGAATCCAAATAAACAAGGGTTTAAGGTAAGAACACACTATCTCTTTATTGCTATTCACCTTGTGTTTACAGGAGGTTTTCAGGGCCCTAGATTGGAAAGAGATAGGGATAAAGGTTAATGGAGAGCATCTTAGTAACCTGCAATTCGCTGATTACATTGCTTTGATGAGTAAGTCAGGGGACAAATTAGAGCTCATTACTAAACTGGACACGGAAAGCAGAGGAGTAGGTCTGAAAATTATTATTCATAAAGCAAGAGTAATGTGCCACAGCCTCGTCAAAAAACAGTGCTTTGTGATAGGTGGAGAGACGCTGTAAGTTGTAAAGGAAAAGGTCTATTCAGGACAGGCAGTAACCACGTAGACGGACCATAAAAGTGAAATAACTAGAAGAATAAGGATGGGGTGAATCACATTCCACAAGCATCCTAAAATCATGATTGATAATCTGTCACTATCCCTCAAGAGAAATGTATATAAGAGCTACATCTTGCCGGTTACTTACCTATGGAGCAGAAACCTGGAGGCTTACAGAGAAGGTTCAGCATGAATTGTGGAAGACGTAGCAAGTGATGAAAGGAGAATTACAGGTGTAACATGAGAGACAAGAGGAGAGCAATGGGGGTCAGGGAAGAAACAGGCACTGAGGATATAGTTCAAATCATGAAAAGAGATGAACAGGGGCCTGGCACGTCGCACATATGCAGGAAAACCACTGGTCATTAAGAGTAACTGACTGGATTCTCAGAGAAGGTAAATGCACGAAGGGGAGACAGAAACTTAGGTGTGCTGATGAGAGTGAAAAGTTAGCAGGTATAACGTGGCATTAGGAAACACAACACCGCGTTGATTGGTGGATCATGAGAGAGGCCTTTGTCCTGCATTGGGCGTAGTCAGGCTGATGATGATGACGACGACGATGATTATGGTGACTGCTTAGTTCTTTTTGTTGGTGGTAATTTATTGATTTGTTTCAATCTACTAAAAACCCAAAGTATGTACGTGTATAATGTTAGGCGAGAACTTAGGATTTGTCGTTGTTTTATCCAAAAAGAAATTGTTTCGACTTACTCGATTCGGATGGTTTTTCTACAGGAAAACCGCCCTTCACACTAGTGTGCCTCACACAGCAACGCTGCGTAGTCAAGATGGTTTTGGAAAAAAATATTTTTAACATTTGCCCTTTGAGTAGGCGGCTCATTTTCTAATGTCTGGCATCACTTTTTTTGTATGGAATAGCAGGAGGCAGAAGCCAGCACTGTAGAAGTAACTAACCACGAAATATGCTTCAGTAAACGTATAAGTTAGCTTCATCATATATTCAATTGCTCCCGAAAATTTTGAAAATACAGAACGCAAGACAAGACCTTCTGATACTCAAGCTGTTTGGAGTTTTTGTGTTTGTTATCAAGACATGGCACATTTTACTGGGAGATAATGCAAAAAACAACGTTTCTTCTTGCTTAAGTAAGCATAGACTACGAAATATTTATCGACAGACAGCATTGTGTTCGTTTCATTTCATTCTGCTTGCGGAATATGGACGTTTTGTGTGCTAGGTCAGTCGCGGTGGCAACTGTAAACTGCAATCTGTGCAGTCAAATACAAACAACTCTGTGCCCTTCTGGTGATCGAATTTTTACGTATGAACATGAGATCTGGGTGCTATTCTGGACACTGTTCAATTCTGTCATATTGTCCGATTTCCTAAAGATGGAATAATAAGAAGACTACACAGGCTTTAGCTTCCAGCCATTTTTTGGCCAATAGGAATGGGTTCACGCCGGCATTTATTAATATGGTGAAATGTGGCAAATCTAAGGCCCATATTCAGAACATAACTTAAGTTGGACGACAAGTTGCACGAAAGGATAAGTATGGATAAATATGGCCGCTGGGAACGACGATATAAAAATTTTGACACTTGTTTTACCAATAAAACAGCACTAAATTACTGTAAATTTCACAGAACACTAGCTGAAAAGGTTCTAGTATATAAAACGGTACAATTAGTCAGAGTTCGAATAAATATTTCTTGTTTTTGTCGGTTCCAAGCCTTCGTGTGGCCAGGACAAGCAGCTGCAGCTTAGTGGCCGTTGCTATAAAGTGGTCGTCATAACTCGATGCTATTTGGTCGTGCACAGGTGTTGGTTACTTAGGAGAGCTATCGCATGCAATACGAACGGTTTTTTCGTCACACTACGTTCATTTTGCTTCATAAATTTTCTAATGCTTTTGCCATTTGATGCATTTCTCTAACTTCTTTTATTTCCAGAGCACCCATGTGTGTTCCCTTCTTTCTCAATAATGAGAATATTTCCCCATAAAAGGAGCGAGTGATACAACGGTTAAGCCCCTTTCACTTGCTCCGTTACAAACTCTATTCGGGCGTCCACCGCT